GTCTGTGTTATGAGGTGTAAAAAAAAGGAAGTTGAAATAAATAGGGGTTTTTATGGTTTCTAGCATTGCAAACATGTTTACTTGCATTCTGTCTTGTAGGATAAACTGTCATGTCACTATGGCAACAGTAAAACAGGAAGTAAGCTATATTTGTGCTGTAGGAGTGTGAATAACTCAGATACCTAGTTACATTATTTTTTTTTTGCATAGATAAGCAGCAAAAACTTAATAACTTAATAATTTAATTTATATATATATTTTCAAGGATGGGCTCAGTTCTCAGCTTTTCTCCAGCAGATGTAGCAGTAGCATTGCTCAAAAATAAGTCCAATTGATGCTTCTCTCACATGCTAATCATATACAAATCATGAGATTATACCTATACAAATCATTTAACACAAATCATGAGATGTCGTTTAGAGATTATAGTTAAGACTTTGAAGCAGATATTTGTGTGTCCTTGGTGTATTCTGTGCTTTTGCATATGTTGGACACTTGACTCTAGGGATGGCAACATCCAGTTGGTTGATCACTCAGCTTAATTGCCAATTACAAAGATATTTCAAAACCTATTACATGAATGGCCATGAACTATGGGTTCAAAGCACAGGGTGATCGTGATAGTGATGTTTACTGTACGTTTTCTTTTGCACCTCAGTCTACTTTTTCACTTAACTTGAACTATAGGACAATTCCAAATGGGGATCCCCCTACTCAGGCACGATGCTCACATTTTTGGTATGTCAGCCAACTCCTAGGAACTTCTTTAGTAATCTCTTAACTTTTGAGTTAATGCTGTCTCCAAGTCAGTATTTCAGATGAAACTTTAAATGGTTCTCGAATGCAAGAATAACTCACAGGTGCTTACAATGGACTGTGTTTTTTGTACAATGACGGTACGAATAATGAGCTGGTTAAGATGTAGAGTTTTATTTCAGGCATGTTGGAATGATTGGTGAGCATTTTACTCAGTACACCGTGCTGCTGTGCCAACTGTTGCTTACTTGCACCCTTACTAGAGCTGTTGACACTTAACCTTGGTACAGTGGTAACCTTACACTTCCTGTGTTGGACCGCTAAAGCATGTAAGGAGTTTCACATTGAAAAGCATATGTAAAAGAGTCTGCAAGTCAACTGTGAGGGAAATTGTGATTTAAATGAGTGGGAAAATGCTGAGATGTAAGATATAAAAGCTAAAGTAATAAAGTAATGCACTAATAACGGTTTTCAACTGAAGGGCCAGGTCACTTATTATTTGAATTCTGTTCCCACGACTACAGAGGTACTGGCCATGCTGAGCCATTAGACATACTTTGTGGTTGATATGGAACTCCCGGGAATACAGACAGTCACTTATGCTTTCTCACCGCACTGTTTACTTGAGATATTGCGCAATCACATGCAAAATCACAAGATGTGTCACTGGGGAGATTCCGGTAACCTGAGGTGGCTTTATCCATCATCCTGATGAAGTGAAATGTTAAACCTAAAGATAGATTTGAGACAGGTTCCTCATGATGGTAGTGAAACCTCTAGTTGTTGAGATAGCACCACACATTGTTCTGCGTTAACAGGCACCACTGCATGAAAAGTGAAAAGTTTCAAGGTGCTTTCTGTATGCAGATTTTTAATAAAGTTGTGTCTTGAACACATTTCCGTTGATGGATCTGTATCTTTGCAGTGTTTGCAATGTTCAAGGCAGATGTCGGACACACAGAGAGAGAGATAAAGGTGCAGTAAGAAGTTGAAGCTGATGATGAGGTGTGTCTGTGAAATGGATTTGACCTCTTATAATTGGTCACGCAGGCAAAAAAAAAAAAAATAGACATAGAGACAGAAAAAGTGCAAAGGAGCACAAGACAAAAAAGGAAGCAAAAAAATCTGATGACAATAGAGTGAAGATTAAAGAGAAAACAGATGGGCTCTTTTAAAACTGTCAAGAACATGAAAAGGGGAAGTTGGGGGGGGGGGGGTGCTAGGAGACAAGGCAGCGGAGCGGTAGGGAAGCAGGGAGAGGATAAGCAGCCAGACAGAAGAAGAGATGACGTTTATCTTATTCATTGCAAACTGTAGAAACGGGAAGCAAGTGAGAGGAAGAGAGGGGGAGTCTGTGTGAGGTGGGGCAGCAGGGGGGTGGGGCAAGTGTGGGAGAGGCACAAGGGTGTGTGCTCAAATGAATCACTCTTCTATGTGGTGTGCCACTGGTCTCTCAGGCAGAGAATCGAAAAGTTGGGGTAAAATCTGAGTCAGCTCCACCAGCTACCAGACACTCACAGCAACTCTCCTCCACAGCACCAGGTTTCTTCTCTGTCTCTCTTTTCTGTTCTCTTACTCATTTGCTCTCTTTTACTCTGACACACACCCACACGCACAAACACACACACACACCAACCGTCACTCCTGGCTGAAAGAAGACGGGACCACAGGAGAACTGTTAAACACCTTTACTGCTACTCACCCAGCTCATCAGCAATCGCAATGCCCAGGATGTGGACGCTTATCTTGGGGGTCATGTTGGGATTACTGGCCTCCTCCAGGTCAGAAATTCAAGGTGAGGAGATTGTGCCTTTTCCCAGTGGATTTCGCTTTGTATGGGGATTTATTTTTCTTATTTTGCCTAAATTGTACCGGTCTCTCAGGCAGCAGGAGTTTCTGAAAAGATTTTAACCAGACACTGTTATTACTCTGTGGAAAAAGACACCACTTAAAAGAAAGAGACTCTGCTCTGCTGCTTGTAGAATGCATGTGTAGATGCCGGCGAGACAGTGTGAGCAACACCAGCACAGACAGTCTGGCAGTCCGAGACTCCTGATAGACACAAAGGAGATAGGCGCTCTTGCTCACTCTCTGTTCGCACGCTGGCAAGTGAACCTTATCGGGGTTTTGGATGACCAGTTTAGCTTTCAGAAGCTTTAAAGTAGAAGCAGAAGGAGATTTTTTTCCTTTGCTGCCCAGCTTAATGCTACATCCTCTAACACAAAGGATGTAATCACCCTGGCAATGTCTCTCTGTCTGTCTCTTTTTTCTTTGTCTCTGTCACACATGCTATTTCTGTGTAAGGTTTTGATTGGATTTGTTGCTTGGAGCGGTATATCTCAGGAGGTGAAGCTGGTACAGAATCAAACAGGTCTGGGGCTTGTCTGGCTTATTCTCTCAGGAGCTGGTGGTGAGGTTGTTCATAGAGACTGCCTTTGGCACTGCACCAGAGAACAATCAACACCAAGCCATGAATTTGACCCGGATTTAAAGGCAAATATGAGTCTACCTACCTGAATCGCTCATGTATGTGAAGTCAAGTGCATGTAGGAAGGAGGAGGGGGGTGGATCCACTTTCCCCCATAGTGCTTCAACATCTGTTTGCCCCTCAAGACTCGTTGTGGATTGTGTAGCTGTGAGCTGCGCGCATGTGTGTCTGCGTCTGTATCTCAGCGTCTGAGTGTCAGAGTAATTGGTGTCTGGAAACTTAAGGGTCCTGCAGTGGTTACTACTCATCCTGATCCAGACAACATCTTTTTTGCCACAAGCACAGAAATGAGAGCAGGTCTTGTGGACCAGTGACCACCCCAGACATCCACAAGATATCTAGATAGTTTTAAAGATAGCTATTACGTGGCTTCAGGAAATGGTTCTGTGAAGATTTATAAGTAATATATCATATAAATAGTCCGTAGTAATGGCTGCAAGTGCCCTAAAGGCTGTCATATTAATTTTTTACCCAGCAGTTCATGTAATTTATTTGATCAGTTTAAATTAATATATAACTGCACGGCCTTTTGCCAGGGATGCAGTAAGACCCATATTTAGATTGAATCAAATCTATTGCTACTTTCCAATAATTCATCCAGCGGTGAGAGTGTGTGAAATTTTTCATATGTGATCATTCATAAATATCTGTCAACAGGTAAAGATCGATAATTGATCCTAATGAAACAATAAGGCACTCAGTTAGAGAAACACTATAGCCTTTGTTAAAGAGCAAGAGCAGTCTCCATAATGTACATGGTCTTGGCCTAAAGTGGATTGTGGTTGAGTATTTGCCTCTTTGGATTAGAAACCCCTGCTGCCGTACTTGTGTTAGGTTTTGAGGTGAAGGATGGTCAAAGCTCCAGTGCAGGCACTCACAAAGAGGGCTTGTAATTTGTAGGCTCTGAGTACCACCAGACACGTGTCTCTTCCACCAATATAACCTCTGGTATGAATGAGTTTCCGTGTCCATGCATCATTACAGTTTGTTATAAGTTTTAGAGTTGCTCACCTTTTTTTCCCCTGTTGTTTTGCATGTTTCAACCTTCCTATTAGTATGTGCCCTCTGCTCTTTGTCTTTCTTTTATGCATCAAAGTCTGTGCTACAAGCATGCTTTCTTAGAAAAAGTTCTATGTACACAGGTAATCTGTGGTTCAGCTGAAACTTGTACCACACAGGAAATGGAAATGTGAATAATACTTGAATCCGAGATTTTGAGAGATAAAGTAAGTTATGCCTTTGCAAAATTGGGAAATAAGGTTGATGTGATTCTTGTTTGCTGAGTGAAGCTAGGCTAACATTTCATTAAAACAAAAAGAATAACTGATGACAGTTATTTCTTGACTTTTAGAGGAAGCTAAATGAATTTCCCTGTTACATCATACAGTTTGTAAGCTAAGAAGTGACTTCCACTTACTTCCCATAATGTGAGACAAAGGTTTGTTTTTTTTCAGGAGTAACAGAAAGCTCTTGAAAAAAGCTCAAGTAAAACTCTTGAATGAAAAATAAAAATGTGGGTATTCATGAAAATGTGTTTAAAATTGATCTTTCCTCTTGTAAATGTATCAGTTTGATGGTTTATACCTCTGTCAGCCAATCAAAAGGACTTCTGCAAGAGATAATGTGGTACTTCCACTTTTTTAACTTTACTATTCAACTTTATTTATTTGTTTTTTATTTAGATTTAAAGTTTAGAAAAAGGCTGTGAAAGGGTATGAAAGTACACAGAGTTGATAAATCTGATAAATATGGTATTTTTGTTGAGAAAAGGAAAATGAATTGGGTAGGTGGTGCAGGAAGCCTGGAGGTGGGAAAGGAAATGACAGTTTAGAGTGAAAGTCAGATAATAACAGTCCTTGTGACCTTGATTTTGTGTTCTTGTGTGTTTGTGTGTGTGCATGCACACAGGCATATTTTCATAAGAGCTTGTGTTTCACCTGTCCCACTGGCCCATTGGACCTTTGTTGTGACGAATGGAGGGAAAGACGCATATGCTGACAGAGCAACTTCACTTTAGTGTGAGAATGTAGGATACTGGAGCATTGTGGGAGCTATGACCTGAAGGACCCTCTCTCGCAAATAGCTGATGAATAAAATGGATGTTAATGTGGTTGTGGGACACGTGCAGTTGATTTTCTGTTCAAGCATTGAATTCCCACGTATAAATTAATAGTTTTAGAAATGTTGTGAGTCATACTTTATGTGCAAGGTTTCATTACTTATCTCACTTAGGATCACAGGAGGCTGGAGCCTATCTCAGCTGTCACAGAGTGAGAGGAAAGGTAAACTCAGGACACACCGCCAGTGTGTCACGGGCCTCTCAGTGAAAAAAAAAAACTACGGCCAGTATAGAATCACAAATCAACCCATCGTGCACAAATTTGGACATGTACACTCCACACAGAAAGCCCCCAGCTAACCACAGTGTTCTTGTTGTGAAGTGCCAGCGCTAACCACTGCACGACTTTGCTGCTTCCCTTTTCAGTAAAGTGCACCTCAGAAAATGTGGATAAGAGAATAAAAATAAACACAACCTGTTTTCCATGGCGTGCCACGTGAAACCACGAAGAAAAATTATCAGTGACTGTTCCTGCGCATGTGTGTCTGTGATGCGCTTGTCTGTTTGCGCACCTGTGCGCAGGGGGCAAATTGTACTTTATTGCTGCCCTAGAAAAGACAAGCAGAGAGTAATGAAAGAAAACAAGACAGAATGAGAGAGAGCAGGAAAAAAAGTGAGGGTTGAGAGTCAGGCTTGTCAATTACTTCTACAGCAGCTGGAGGTTTTGGCAAGAAGCTGTGCTAAAGCTCTCTTTCTCTTAGGCTTTGTATCTACAGACTTCACAGTCTCCTTGGTTTCAACTCCATTAGGTGACAATAGAGCCTTTGGGAGAGTCAGTGCCTTGGCACAACAGGTTTCTGGGCTGTATAAAAACACCCATGACTGTTCTTCCTGCATACTAATGATTACTTCTAAGATTCATGTCAGCCTCTTTTTCATCGCACAGAGCCATGCCCGCTTTGATCTCTCTGGGCAGGGCAGTTGTGTGTTTTTGCGAGAAACACAGTGTGGCAGCAAACGTTGAAGTTCTTTCAGGTGTGTGTGCATATGTGTGAAAGTTAGAGATAAAAAAGTGGTGGTGGCGAGGGAGTTAGCGAGGGCAAAGATCAGAAATTGCTCTGCAATAAAAGTTGCACTGCCTTTTGTTTTTTGCCTAACTGCTTATAACAGCAGAGATCTCAACTTCCGTTTGTTGCTAGTGCTCTGTTTACTCATAACAGCCAGTGGAAAGTGGGTGGACCTATTTTTTAATCATATCTGACGTTTTATAAGACTCCTGTCTTTATTTCAAGGAGATGAGCATGCTATCAAATTAAAAATAACATTTTTATATGCATCTCAATGTTTGGAGTGGAGAAAAGGAAGATTACACTAAAGCAAAATTAATATTTGTCTTTTTGGTAACTCTTTACAGTACAGTTACATGAAAAATTGAATGATTAACATGTTCTCTTATCAAGCATGGCTTAGAATCAAGTTGTTTTAATGAAAATGATTTATGAGTTATATAACTTTATAGTTTAATGCTGGTTAATGTTTGCAGATATACTCCCTAATCATTGAACGTATTGACATTAGGCTACTTATGGGCAGTTTACTCCAAATGATTTGCAGATGCAGACATCACATTTTGCTTCACTGATAAAACATAAAATAGAATAGGAATCTGATTTATGATTATTGCTGCTACATTAAGCACTGCATCAAGTATTATGTCTGAGATGCTGTTAATCTGTGCACTCACGTCACTATGAAAGATAAAGCTTGATTGATTATTGATTGATTGATTATTAATTTATTTCAATTAATAATCATCAAGCTATGGTTGATGAGGTTTCACATGATGCTTTTCGATACATTTTGAAGAATTTATATACCTTAAATATTTCCTGGTAGTATGTCTTTGTCCGTTTATATACTGCAATATAAGTCTCAGAAATCCTTACAATTATTCTTTACTGCCTCTAAATAAACAACTTCATTAATTTTTTCATAGTACAGCAGAGGTGTTCAACTCTAGGCCTCAAGGGACG